CATGTGCGATAAACACAACATTAGCATTAGCAGTGGCACTAAGTTCCCACTGGCAACCCATCCTGCAATGGCAAGTATGGCAGTTTCTGAGCCAGCAAGGCTTTAGGCTGTGATTCATGCCATGACAACAGGAGCCAGCCCAAGAAGGTAGGCAAAGCAGCAGATTGTGCATTACCATATAATGCACCCTCCCGCCCCCGCAACATTTCCATTAAGGTTGAATAACTGAGCTTTTCTGCAGTTTTATTTTTACTTTCATGTTTGTAACTGGAGTTCCAAGCACTGCAACTTTTTAGTACGTTCAGTATTTCCGTATGTTTTTAAAATGCAGTTTCCTAGGTTTTTGAGGCATAATAAGAGGACAAATTTTATCCTGTGGTATCAGGTTGACACATAAGTTGCCTGCATGGCTGGACCTTTGTAGCTGTAGGGGACACTCATGGAGTAACTGGTAGTAGTAACGGCCTAATACCCTTTATGTTAACTGGAAACAGGTTTGTCGGTGGGTCTACGGTGCACATAATTTTGCAGAAAATCCATTTCAGTACCTTTATGTACAATTAGATTATCATTAAACAGTAGTGCATTTTATAAAATGAAATTTACTGTCAATTTTAGTACCTGTCAGTATATTTTTATGCTTGCTCAGTTCATATAAGGCTGCTTATTATGGGTTTATGCATTTTCATTTTGTGTGGGAGTTTATTTGACCCATCTTAAAACTTTGCTGTGATGGGATCTGAAGGGAAATGTTGTCTGAGAATTTACTCAAACAAAACCAGGTTATCTAACTTCCTCAAGTCAAACGGGAAGCTTGCTCATGGTCCCCTCCTGTGTCAGCTCTGACACAACCAGCTACCTTCTCTGGCAGGCAAAGTCTCTTGAAACCAGTATAACTCCATTCTGGCAGAAATAAAGATAAATAAAGATAAAAGCTATGAAAAGTGTCCTGGATACGTCTTCTCTTGCGAATTGGCATGATGTGATGGGCGGTAATTATTGCAATGGCGCTCCATCTGGCTACCTGTGTCCAAGATCATGCTTACGTTCTCGTCACACCCTCTTACGACTTCAGCCACACAATTCTGCGATAATTTTTTCCCCAAATAAACTTCAAAATGGTGTACTGACTTCAGACCTAAGCTGATAAAGGCCCATGAAGGGTATCAAAACAGTCAGTTCCTTTCTGTCTTCCTCTAGAGCAGTTTCCTTTGATGCTCTGCCACGCGGGGGCTCTGAAGTCCAGTGGTGGCTAATAGGGCCTGAAAATTGAAGGTGAACAGCCTTGATAAAACAATTTCCTTGAAGTCTCTGCTGCTGCTTCCACTTGCCTTTGCCATCTCTGACGCTGCCTTTCTTTTGCTCTTGATTTTAATAAGTTTTTAATGTATTGTTGTAACAAAAGGAGGCATTTAAATAGTTATTTAAAAAATAGAACTATGAATGCAAAGCTCAATTACCTTCTCAATTACTGTTTAATAAACAAGAACACAATCACTGTGAGCAGTACAAATATCATTAATCAGGCATAACGATGTGCACAATTAACAACCATTAGGAGTTTTAAAAAACGACTAGGACCTAAAATGCAAAGTGCTGCACACAAATAAACTTGTTCTTTCAAGGTCATATATTTGTGCATGTCTGGTGCCTCACATCGTCTCTGCTCACGATGATGTGACCAAATGGTAGAAGGGCCTTGTTCTGTAGATAAGGGATTCAAGGGCATCGTTCAGGATCATCCCTTACTGACATCCCATGGCACGTGCTGTATAAAACGTGGTTTTGCTGTTTTGCCAGGAGCAGTAATGCTTCCAGCAGCAATGACACTGTGCTCCAAAATGAGGGGTATTAAAGGCAGGTGGCATCGGGCTGCGTTGAGATGACATTGTGATCTCTGACAAGAAGGTCACCAAGTTTTCAAGGAAGATTGCTTCCTTCTCCATTACCTCCAGGGACTTTGTTTGCCAGCGCCCATATCTTTCTCTCCCCTTTTCTCTCCCTCTTTATTATTTTGCAGAAACTATTCTTTATCTTCTTTCATTTTTTTTATCACTATGCAAAGTTCAGGAATGTAGGACTGGAGGAGACCTCCTACATCACCGCTTGCTGTCACATGCAACATTGTTACATCGGTCTTTTTATAAACTATTAAACTCTGTTTTGCAGCTACCGTGATTGTTTTACCTCGCTGCTGAAGGCAGGAGGCTATTCCAGAAACACTGCTCTGGCAAGGATTGCTACCTTCTAATTTCCCAGGTAGATTATGCCCATTTTTATGGAAAGGTGCTCTTTTTCTTTCTATGAGTACTGGATAAGCATTTAAAGTCGAATTTGTGAAAATTTTTGCTCCTAATTTCTCTGTTTTAGTGACTGTGGAATAACACCATCCCTGCCACGCCTCTCTTGATGGAGTCCAGGGTGCAGTTTGTTTTATTTGCAGTGTGTGTGCACTGTTGGCTTAAACGGGCTCATGCTCAGCCTGACATCACCAGCATCCCCCGGTCCTTTTTGTGGGCTGATGTTCAGCCAGTTTCCCACCAGTCCTGATGCCTGGGGTTATTCTGTGCTATTCGGGTTGAGGTGTCTGTTGGCTTAATCCTCAAATTTATCGAGATCTCTCTGGAGTAGGTTCTGCCAGTCCTCATGTCAGCCACTCCTTGATTTGGTGTCCATAGATTTGCTCAGGGTGCATTCTGTGTCATCATCTGGGCCTCCGATCAAGATGCTGAACACTGTGTTCATCACTAGCTACATGTCAACCATACATTTTTACTGGTTGAGCCTGGCGGTCCAGCCACTTTTCAAACCATCTGACAGACTGGTGGCTCAGCCCGTGGTTTCTCAAAAAAGACTATATTTGTGTCACTGTATAAATTAAAGTAGAAGAGAACTGAAAATTTGTAAATTTTCTTGCATAGATCCCACACTGAGCACTTGGAGAGATTTAAAAGCCCAGGAGGCATAGAAAGGATGTGCTGAAATATCCAGACAGGAATTACGGTAGCTAAGTCTTACCATAAAATCATATTGTATTGCACGCACCTTATTCTACTGTTTGAGAAACTCCATGTGTGATACAGCTGGATGTTCTAGGTATGATTTAGGAGATGTGTGTATCTGGGCCTGAAACTCTCTCCATATTTATGAGTCAACAGAGAACCTGAATTTCACAGTCCATCTCTGCTTGCTCTGGATCCTGGTCTGTATCAACATTGGTAGCAACACAAGGTAGAAGTACTTGAATTCAGAAATTGATAACTCCCACAGACAAAATTTCCTGCTTTTAATGATAGCTCCTGACCCAGTGAGCCTTCCAGAGTTACTGCTGATGTATTTCTTACTCTTATAATTAAATGACAGATTCCTTATGGCAGTATTTGCTTATGTTCTGATTGTTTCCTTCATTTGTTGCTATTTGCTTCTGTATTTGTGCAGCTTGCTGGGCAGAATTCCAGGGGGATGGCATGCACTCCTTTTCCAAGGACAATGAAATCAGGAGCTGAGTACCAAACCACACTGACACTTGAGGCTTGGCTGTACAGACACAGGTCTGCTGCTACAGGAATGTGTCAGAAGCTGGATCACCGGTAGTTCAGGCTGTAGAGGCAATCGGTAGGTGTGATAGAAAGGGCAATCCAGGTAGCCAACAAAATCATGATTTTTTTTATCAGTGGAACCACTCAGCAATTGGAGAATGATGGCTTCAGGATAGTGTTTAATGTAAGACATGCTTAGGCTAATGGGCAGTGTTTGAGTAGTACTTTTTCTGAAGAAGTTTGAATAATAGTGCATATAAAGCCAGAAATTTCACACACACACACACAAAACCTGTATGCAAATCATTAATCACAAAATGATACAAATTCCCTCACAATAAATTTTAAATGCGTACTACATGCCATCCAGCTTGTCTGAATAAACAGAAAAATGTCAGTTAGTGCCTGGCAATGAAGATCTGTAGTGTTAGTTCAGATACTGCTTTGAGAACTGGAGTCTTTTTGAAAAACACAGATTATAGTGGAAAGAAAACGCAGAGACCTCCAAAGAGCATGACAAGATATGCAGAACTGAAGAATCTGGCTGAAATCAAAACATCTCTCATAGTTCAGGGGGTACTGTGAACTTGAACTATAGTCACTTTAAGATAAAATGAACTAAAAGCTTTTCAAGTCTTTTCATGCCAGTGAATTTTCTCCACCCATTTTTATGTTTTTACAATGACTCTTTAAAGTGTTTTTGTTCTTTTCATTGCTATGAGGAAAATCCAAATAAGCAGGGGAAAACTACTAACTTTACACAGTTCTAGAGCTATGTAGCAAACAGCGAAAATGATTATGAGTCTTCTAATCTTTTTCAGTTATAAGTTATCTTAGGCTTTATTGGTGAAGGAAGGGTTCCAAATGGACATGTTTTATTATGTCATTTCATATATCCATTTGTTTGTTTAATATTTATCAACCATAGTAAAGTGTTTCTTCTAAATGCTTTAAAGCAATACTTTTGTAATAAGAAAGGTTCTTGTAGGAAGACATCATTATGCTTTATCAGATATAATTGGAAAAATAAACAAGCTTTCAGGCTTACAGACCTTATATTTGATCTGATTTTATCTAATAAAATATATTTTCTCTCCTTGCAAACTTTCTTTTTCAGCACAGATTTTCTCAGCACGGCTGGCTTTCCTCCAGAACTGTAATAATAACTTACAAGGTTGCAGTTTTTGCAGGCAAACTTACAGTATTTACTGTGTGATTGTTTATGAATTATTGAGCCATCGCTACTCTCAGTACAAACTGATATTGCATGTCCACTATAGACCCAGTAAATTACCTTTTTAAACAATTCTACTTTTCCATGAATTTTGGATTAGTATTATTTGGTTCACTCTGATGTGCTGAGAATTTTCTTGCTTTTAAAAACATTATTATTATAACTTTAGCAAGGCTTTTGGTTTGTTCTAATAACTGAGGTAATGTCCTGATGGGCACATTTACAGGGAGCTTCAGAAGGCATAAATTTGGTTTGTATGTACTATTTGCATCTGTTAGTATGGTTCTAATTGCCATGGGATTTTACTGACTCAATCCCCGATAAACAGGATTCTTGTAGTTTTATGAGATTCGCACATGTTTAACAAAGAGGCAGCTAAGGACTAGGATAGATGAAATTATGTGCTTAGGGCCAGGTGAGAAAACTAGATGAGGCAGGACTTTAACTCAATTCTCCACCATCTGGTCAGTGATTTTTACTCTGTGTTTTTCCCCTTCTGAAATTTAACTGAGCTAAACCAAAGAGGAGAAAGCTGGAGTTAAAAATAATGTTGTACTCTTCCCAAATTTCAGTTGTATTAATGAGAGAGCTGTTTACATCCAGTTTAATCTGTTAATCCCTTTTTTACTGTTGGGTGATGTAAATTAGCTTGAAGGAAGATGTTGTGAAATGGATTGTATTGATGCTTACATAGAAGAGATTTTGATCTACAGCTCTCAAAGCCCTTTTCAAAGGCGACATTGTGGACTTAGGTTTTCAAACTAATGGAGGAGGGGAGTGAGAAGAGCAAAAGAGGGAAGAAAAAAACAAGGAAGAAATTAAAAAACCCCCGTAATTATTATTTTTTTTTTATTTGCATGAATGTTTTGGAAAAAGTTGATGATAGCAATTTTCACATTATTTCTTAAAGACTTTTCAAATCCTACTTTTTTTAAAATTAATAGGAGACCATCATTGAGTTTAATGGGAAGAAGATCAGGCATAATAGGAAGACACTGAACACAGAGCAATCTGACTGTCAGGTATAACTGACTCACTGGTGCTATGCTGTGTCATAGGGTAATGATGAGTGTGTAATTTACTGTGACTTAATGGAATGGGTTGTACACTGACATGCAGAAAGCCCGGTAGTGCGATTGTATCTTAATTACAAATCAAGTGGTATAGAACAAGGAAAGTAACTCCACTATTAAACGAGGTACCCAGCTTCTTTGCAAACTGCCAAATGCAAAGCTGCCAGGTACCTTGTAAAGATCTCTGTTTAATCCTAGCACTTAAAATGCAAGCCTTGAAGCTGAGATAGAAATATCACAGTCCTAACCTGCAGGCTACACAGAACCTTTCCACAGTAATTGGGAACATAACGTGGTAAAATGCTGATGCTGGTGGGGCAGGGATAAACCGGTTCTTTGCACATTTGGCAACATGGCAGGAAAATGCAGAACAGGGCATGAGCAAGCAAAGGGAAAGCTGATCGCAGCCAAGCATGGGGCGGTGATGAACATGAAAACAATGGTGGATTTAAGTTTTTTTTGTTTTACTGTCATTCGCTATTTGCTTTTTCACTGTTAAAATGTTCACAGATGAAATGCTAAAGGTCCTGATGATTCACATACAAACCTTTACAAAATTGATTCCAGAACCAGCTTTTCAGAAGAGCTTGCGGGAATCCAGTCAGGAAGCTCAGAGGAGGGCAATTCAAGTCACACATGCAGAGATGACAGGATTGTTGCGTCTTTGAGTAAATTCATTTAAAGGTCTTTGGAAAACATATTTCTGGCAACTATGTGAGGTATGAGGACAGATGAAGGTGGGTATAGAGAGAGGTCTTCTGTGTAAAACCACAAACACTAAAATCCATAGTGTTCTGCTAGCTGATTTACAAGTGTGATCCTATCCTGTTGGCTGATGTATTGGGATTGTGTTTTACCTCCTACAGCTTGAATTTAAGAGGCAGGATCTGTTACTGATGGCTCAGACAACCCCTATCCTGATGAATACAGAGACGGAGCTTAAAGACCAAGCCACTGCAGTGCCACAGACCCAGGACCAAGTGTGTCAACTTTATGCACTGAAGCATGGGACACAGATGCTCAAATATGTTAGCTACAGGTATAATTTCATCAGTGTAGTGTTCCAAATGGGATAATTAGCTAAAATAGAAAAATACTCTGTATTTATTTATACTTTCCCTATGTCTTCAAATGCCTCTCATATTATTATCTTAAGTCTGTTTATACACAGAGTGCACTGCCTCGTTACTGTTTGACTGTAGCTTAGTTCAACTAGTTCAAAACTCTATGGGCCCTTTTACAGTTCTAATATTATGATAGAGCTTGTTCTGATAAATGTATAGGTTCAAACTAACCTGCAGTAATCAGGGTTAGTCTCAGAAACGTCAGTCCTAATGCACTTATAATCTGCAGGGATTCGTTTTATGGTTCTTAATGCTTTGTTTTATATAATGTATCTTTAAATTCCACACAAAAATCATATGAAAGCTTTTAAGGCTGCAAAGTCAAGCATTCTGACGTTAGAAAATGCCAGAATTAATGTTGTTTGCAGAACTTTGATTTGCCTCACCTTGTCTTTGATTGCAAGGTGGTCATTAATGATATGAGCCCATTCAGTGCACAAAAAGGATGGTAGTCACTTAATGAGCAACTACTCAATATTTTGTTCTCTCTTTGATGCTTGATGTGGGACTCCATGCCTTACTACCTACTGTTCAAATCTTCCTCCAAAGAGAGTTACTGGTTTTGTTACGGACTTTTCAGTGGTTTACAACAGTATAGGAGTTGAGAGTTTCACAAACAGAATTCAAAGTGTTTAGAGAGCATCCTCATAAAGTAAGGAAAAGATAGCGTTACAGCTAATTACATTAAATTGTGGCTACCTTTTTAGCCATAAAAGCACAAGGTTAAAATTTAGTCTTTCAGCAAAACCCTGCACATAGTTCATGGCCACCCATGAAAAATGGGGTTTTAAGTGGCTAATTTAGTAGTCTGTGTGAAAGACAAAAATAGAATCCAATCCTTCTGAGCAGCATACAAACGCCTTAGCCAGCAACCACTTTTTTTCTTCCTGCAGTCATTGCGTTCACTTTCTGCAACAAAAGAGCCAGGATCCTCTGGACAAGATCTGATTCATTACACAATCCTGACTCATCTCCATACCACGGTCCATTCTATGCACTAAGTAGCTATATACAGCGCTATACCAACAAGCTAGATATGCTTTCCCAAAAATGTGGCGAAAGTTGCAGAGGGAGAGAAAAGAAAAGAAAAAAAAAAAAAAGCCCATCCCTGCGAGTCTTTCTAGCAGGACTGATGGTCCACGTATTTCCCTGCCTCTCTAACCTGATGTGGCTTCAGTGATTGCTTTGTGCAGTTGCATGTCTGTGCTGGTGCTGAGCATGTGGGATAAATGAATAAAAACCCTACCCTTGGAAGATGGGTAGAACACAGTTCATGAGGTGTGTGGAAGATGAGAGCTGAGATGGGGAGAAGAAATTGTGGTTGCCAAGAGGTTTAGGGGGATTTACTGGAAGGAAAAGGAGGCCTCATTTACCTCTGGAAGGATGTGTCTTGCTGTTTCTCACCACTGACCCAGATTACTAATGGCATGATACTGACCTGTGAAAGACAACAGGATGCCCTTAACCCTGAGAGATTAAGCCTAGCACTGCACTGTAAATCAATGCACCACTTCTCTCCTTAAAAAGAGCAAGAAAAAATCAGTTGCTCTCTTCCTTTTCCTGATGGGTGATGGAGCTGAACCCCCTGAAGAAGTGATAACACATAGGTGGGGGTTGTTTTGCCTCAAAATCCCTGCCAAGAGCCTTCTTGTAGATCTCCTTCAGCTTCTTGAGTGTGAAGCTGAGTGCCTCTGCTGGGACTGTCAATGAGTGATCCATGTCTACACATAAGATAATTCCTAGTGGTTTTCTCATGTCTGTGGTCCTCTGGATGCTCTTCCAAATGGCAGGAGAGCCTAGAACTCCTCAAGGTACAAGGGTGCCCTCTAACTCCCAGCTTTTGGAGTGTGGTGCAGCAGTGTAGGCTGGCACCATTAGTATATTAAAGGTCTGCAAGTCTGTCCTGAGACAGGCACAATTTGCATAAGCACCCATGGGTGAAGCGTAACAACGGCATGATGTGGCATAAGGACCTATTTCAGGTTTGCTGCATAGCTTTGCTCATGGTTGAGTGACTGGGACTACTCCAGGTGGGAGATGCACTGAAGTATATTCTGCACAGGCTGCATGAGCAATGTCCTGTAAGGTGATCTCACGACCAGACACCCTTAGGGTGTATTGTCCTGGTGTTCCACCCCAGGGACCCTCAGAGCACCCTGCCAAGTACTCCCAGAGCTAGGTCTTGCAGACTGTCAAGGGCTTCAGGTCTCAAGGGCTAATGTGTCGCTGGTATAGGGCAATACAGACCTACCAGCACTGCTTCAATGGTGCTTGGAGAATTCCTGTCCCTTCAGCAGTAGACGCAGACAGGATCCCCCTTCGCATTACCCACATGCTAGCAGAAGAGATAGAGAACTCAGTGCCAGCCTTGAGAAAGAGAAGATCAAGTGTTTGATGGATTTTTGTGCCCCAGGATGGGGCACGCTCAGTGAATCTGTATGCGCGGTAAATGTAAAGAGCTGCTGGCACATGGGAGCTGAGAGTAACAGAACATTCACGGGCTTGAGCTCACAAGCTCCCACGAGTCTTTACAGAACATATTTGAACTGAGATTTTCAAAGGCTTATCACTTGGCCCAAATTTGTGCAGTGACTCATAGGAGCAGTGAGAAGCACATCCCTGATACAGATAGCTCCTCTGCTGAATTTCAAGGCTCTGCATCAAACTAGAAGGTACACAGACTTTTTAACAGAACAATCTTGCATTTCTTTTATTAAGGTGGGCATTCTTCCATCTTTTATTCTCATAGAGAGCTGAACCAACATTTTAATAAACAAGCATACAAAATACCCTTCAGGTCCTCAGCAGTCAGCCAGCACAGAAGATCTCGCTCGAATAGTTAAGGTTAAAAGTTGTAATGTACTGATCGTACTGATAATGAATCTGGTGATGGAAGTGTCAGGCTGCTTTAAGTGTGTGTGTCCATATAAATAGCCAAACGGGAGTTATGACATGCAGTAACGTACTTTTACCAGCTGTTAATTCATGAGATCTTGTACCTTCTATTTCTGTAGCTCTGTTCCTCAAATCAGTTCAGTGATGCAAAGCATTAGTTTTAGGTGAGTGAACTCAACCCTGTATGTTTTAAATGAGACAAATTATTAATTATTGATTGAAAATTATTAATTAGCCCAAATGAGACTAAACAAATGTGAAACGTGAACTAAGCTCGTAGCAACAGTTTAGAACATGAAGGGAGGCATCTTGCACTATATGGACTTTCAGGTTGCTTTATTACAGAAAACAGGCATAGATATCTTTTAATTTCCACTAGATAGATCTTTCCAGATAATACCTGTTCTCATTTCTATAACCAAAAGGTGGCAGCATATTGTCTACTTTCCCTTTCCATCCATCCTAGCTCTAAGCTCCTAAATAACCTTCCTTGCTCAGTTTGTCGGAATGCCAGGAAGTCCAGAACAATCATGCTGACTAAGGAACGCTGATGAGATCTTATGTGAAATCAACTGTTTATCACCTTTAAATAGAAACAGGAATAGACCAAGGACTGGCGATTTTATTCCGTTGTTTCAATGACGGCCTGATTGACTTTTGGAAATGTGAAGAAGGGTTAAATTTCAGCTCAGTGGTGTAACTTCAGAAGGGACACCTACCTTTAGGGCTTAACATTTTTATTAACAGTAATGATTGTTAAGAAGCCCGAGCCAGACTTTAACTTAGTTTTGTTCCTACTTAGGCACTTCTTGCTTTGGTAACTAGACAAAAGGCCAGTGGGCATCCAAAGGAGCAGCAAAGGTAGGGCAAACACTTTATGCAGTGCAAATACCAAGGTGAAAAGGACACGAATGTACCAGTTGAGTTTTGCTGCATGAGTGCATCCATTCAGAGGTTTCTGGAAAGATGCCCAGAGACACCCATTTCCCATTTTGGCTGGTAAAGAGATCTGGAGGTGGAGGAAAGCATTCTGAAACATAACCTGCTCTCGGATCTGCAGGGGTTCTTGGCACGGTGCCACGAGTCCTCAGGAAACACGGCTGCTATGGAACACTGCAGTGTGTGTCCTTAACAACTTAAAACACCCCCATGCATATCACACTGATTTCTGCTCTCTACGCTGACTTCCCATGCTCAAACTCAGGGTCTCAGTCATGATTTCCCAGCTGCACTGTGGCCTGGCCTGGGAACTGTAAATGACACTGCCCCGGGATATTGGCCAGAGTTAACAGCACTGTTCCTGAAGCGCTGTGGAGCTTTTTACCACAAGGGTGAATAAAGCCTCTCAACTTGAGACAGTTGAAAATTTCAAGTAGCCCCATTTGCCAGCTGGAGAATAGATGCACAAAAAGGATAAGAATATGTCTGATAATTACAGAAAATTCTAGGGTCACTTTCAAGCCCCAACTTGGTAGATGCCTATAAAGAAACGCCCTAAGTACAAGCCTCAGCAGCCATCCAGTCTGAGTCCAGAAGCTTTTCTGAAGTGATATGATATACTTAGTTCATCTGGCTACCTCCTGTCTATGCTGTCCCTAACAAGAGATAGGAGAAAGTCAATTCATAGACAGGGCTGGCTGGAGGATTAAGGAAAAAGATGTGGAAGCTGATGCTGACAAGCAAGATGCAGATGCAGGGAAGGTTGCTTAGGTGTCTGAGAGCATGCAATCCTTCGTCTCAATCATAACTGCCAGTCGATGCATTTTTGGAGAGCAGCTCGCAGACTGAAGTTGCAACTCTTCTAGATATTAAGGATCATCTTAAATTATTACTCATCCCTCCAAATGGAAGAGCAAGGTTTCGGCATGCTGCCTCTCACACAGAAGCACACACATCGCATTCTTCCTCATCAAAGTAGAATAGGAACAGCAATGCTTATTTGAAAATTATACATGATGTTAAGACCAGCACATGAATGCAAAGTACTAAAATATACATAGCAATGAGGCA